ACACAAGGGAGGGACCAGAAAAAGAATACACTGTAATCTAATTATGCATCATGCATATTTAAAGGCTTTATACTTCTGAAATAATTTTCTCCCTCATTTTCTCATTGATGCTTACAACCCACATGAGTGAACCGGCTCCTTTCAAACAGGAAATGTTTCTTGAACACTTACTTTGTACAGGGCATGATTCCAAGTGTTTGGAATTCAGATTAATAATCCTTGCCTTCAGGGAGTTTCTAATCTAGTGGTATTTCGTCCATTTGTGTACTTCATCACATTCCTAGAAGTGGGAACTTTCACAGTGGGAATGTTTGCTTGATTAGAGGCTTGGTACAAACTGAGATAGTCTAGGATATGCGATTTAATAAAAGTGAAAATGCTTTTTCAATTTTCCTACTACACAAAATCATTTTTCCCTTCCCCATCTTTCTCAATTATATACATTCTAAAGTTTCTGCATTTTTGAAAACATAATATTGGATAAAGAGTTAAAGTATTTCTACAAACTTTTTTGCACAGCTTTGCATCCTGTGGTACTTTTGAAATTATATAAGGAAGAGATTCCGCAAACACTCACACTTTTCATTAAGTTTAATTGCTTTAAAACAAACAGTGTGGCAGCATTTGCTTAATTCAGAAACAACTGGGAGAAGAGCTGTTCACCTCCATTAAGATTCCAAAGTCAGACAAAAATCCCCTATCCCGCTGTCACTGCTACCCGGCTGAGTAAGCCCCATATGCATTTTGCCATGGCAATGCCAGAAAACGCCTGCCAGTCAAGTCTCCTCATAAAATTGCTGGGGAAAGGGACGGAAATCAAGTGGCCAAACTTTGAGTCAAGGGATATAGAATTGAGTAACTCAGAAAGGATGGATGAGGTTTTTAGTTCCAAGAGAGGAAGATGGACACAGCTGATTACTATTTTTCTAATGTTCTCCTATTTGCCGAGGAAGTAGCCTGCAGGAGAGTCAAGCAGCGTAAACTATTTTTAGGCCTATGACCCTTTTACAAACACAGAGCTAAATTCAGTCCTCAGCTACACCCACTCAACTCCCACTGGCTTCAGCTTGAGCCACAGGGACAAGCTGCTCACGATGGCGTAGAGCTTAGTTATGCCTTGTGCATTCTCTGGTTCAAATGGGATGAAGCTCACTGGCCATGGTTAGGAAAGCCCCACGGTGGGTTCTCCTGACTCCAGGGAGCCAGCAGCCCAGACTGACATTCCAGGGTCAACCGCCATACACAGTATTAGGATTCTCACACAACTGGATAAAACTTGTGATCTTCTTGACAATCCAGGCAGAGGGAAATAAGATTGTTTTGAAAATGGCAGTCGATCTCAGAACTGCTTAAAGTGATAACCTCACCTATTAAAAAAAACTAGATTTGAAGAAATTATTATGTGGGCTAAATTAGTATTGCCTTCAACTACCGTGGGGTTATTATAATAAAGTTTACTGCTGTTGGATACAACGCAATACGTGACTGTAAACTACGGTACGGTGGGAAAAAAAAAACAAAAAACATCATTATAAATAATAGGTCTGGAATCTGACTTGGGGGTGAGAGGAGAGCATTTGGCATCTCAAATTACTCCAACTGGGGGCTTTCATATCCCATGGAAAGGACACTCTGTCTCCCCTCCACCCGCTCTAATCCTTCTTTCTTAAAGGAACACTCAGCAAGATAATGAATCCTTTAAATGTTACATCTTCTGTCGTGCATTATTGTGGTGCAGAAACTCTTCACATCAAACAGTCATCAGGACTATTACAAAGTGGGCTTATAAGAGAGGGGCTGAAAAGGAGCTGTGTGAAAAGAAGTGGAAAATTAAAGCTGAAGCAGTCGAAGAAAGGGCTTAATTTACTGGCATGTACAGTATGCAAATGAGATTACTCTCAGCTTAACTGCATCATTTATGTCCATAATAACGGCATCATCATTACAGGGCTCAAATTAAATTACACCATAATTAGCATATCAAAGTGATTGGTTAAAGTTTAAAACAAATACCCAATTTTGTTAATGAACAGCTGTAATTGTCATGTACACTTCAGTGAAAACTCTCTAAACAAATATATGTTTTAGAAGAGAGGAAGATTTTTTTTTTAAGCAGACAGGTCTGTAGCAGAGGTAAATTACCTAAAAAAGAATGACATGGACTATTCTATTAATGTTAATATATGCTGATCATTTTCAGGTAATAAAGCATTCTATCAAAACAAGGCTTCGTGTATATTTAGACACCTTCCCTGCTCCTGAATGTGACAAACCACCAGAAACCTGTTTCCACTTGCAGTGATGATAACATTGCAGGGGTGACCTGTCTCTAACAAGCAAAGGACATGTTCAATAACATGCTCTCACTAAACCCCTACACTTATTGAAAAGACAGCCATGTTCAAATCCTGCCCAGTCAAAGTTGATTTTCTCTGCATTCCAACCCGAAGAGGGAAGAGCGACAGGACCAAAAACTTGCTGAATTTATGGGGCAGACTGGAAAGCTCCTAAGTTGATGACCTGATAACATGTCATATAGTCTCTGACTCAATTCTCCTTGTGGAATGGTGGCTGTGAGGTTTCAAACAAGCAGCCGCACCAGGGAAGTTGTTGCTCTTCCATCATTAAAACAGATCAAGAGGTGCAAAGAGCTATTTTGTCAATGTTGGCTGGAGCCAGCAACAGCACATATTTTAGATATGCAAAACCACATAAAAATAATAAGCTTGTTTTCAAACCTTTCTGTTAAAATCATTTCATGTCAGAAGAGTTTCTACATAAAAAATCAATAATCTCAAAGCTCACATGCAGAAAGTTCTCAGTCTAATATTCTTCCCATTTTGTAACAATGTACCCCATATGTTCTCTAATATATTTGTAAGGGGAACCATCCACCATGACATACAGCAAAGCAAGCCAAAATATATTTTTTCCAAAAAAGAATAGAAAGCACTTTCAAATATACTTAACAAGCAAATTGAATGTCTTATTAAAATCGTATTATCTAAACAGTGTTCAAAAATTTAAAGAAAGTAGCTTTTCATTTTATTCATCGAGGAATCCATTAAAGCTTAGGCTCTGAAGTAGTATGTAAATTATGTGCCTTTCAAGGTAGAGCTAGGGCAAATTCACTCCATCAACTAATGATGAACCTCATTATGTACAGGGAGGATTCATAATGAGGAAAGAGCCACCCGCCATTCCATGTTCTAACATAAATCCCTGTAAAATTTGAATATCTCCCCGTCTAATTAAAGGCTACTAATTCCAATCACCCCCTCCATGGCCCCAAAGTAAAAATAAACCTCTTTAAAAGAACAGACTACAGTTATATTTCTAAAGCAGCACTCGATTCTGTTTGGACTCAGAACCTTCCACTCAGATATGTTTTACGACAAGCATAATTAGCAGCTTTCTAAGATACAAACTTTAAGGCTTGTTCATGCTCATTTTGGTTAAATACACTGGATTTCTATTTTTCAAACAGCTTCACCTTGACGGGGCTACAGTGCGTGCACAGAGATGATCCAGAGAGCCAAGGAACATGTGAGAATCGTAATAACGTAAAATACAATTCTTAGCCCTGGAGTTCCGTGCCGAAGCTGAGATGCTCAGAAAAAGCCACGCACTGTGGCATGAACCCGAGATTGCATTTGGATGGGGGCACATTCAAATCTTCTCAGGAATGACACACTTGATTCTGGAACACACTGCTCACTTTTAATGTGGTTTGAACTAATGAACAAGTACACCCCAGCATCTCACAAGCCAAAGAACTATTCCTTCTCCTAATCACTGACACTAGTTTTTTTTTTTCCCTTAACTGAAAACAACAGAATACAAACACAATATTGCCAAACATATTTATCATGATTAATAGCCTGTAATATCCCTCACTAAGACTTCATCTGCTGTTGTTTTCAATTATGTACCTGCACTACTATATTTCAGTCTCTTTTTCAAATGCCGATGAATTTCTCATGGTCCTGACCCTTTCTATTGTGTCGCCACCCAGCGAGGTACAATTAGCTAAAAACAGCAAAGCTCCACTGTGACTCTAACCGAGCCCCAGATTAAGCAAAATTAGAGAATAAAATCACTGAAAAATAAGATGCTCAGGGAACTAAAGCAATTAGACTAAAGGAAAAGAAAAAGTACATATGCCAGTTACCCAAACACTTCTATCTTTATATTAAAATTTAAAAGGCACAGAAAAAAAATCCCTGAAGCTTTATTTCAATTTTGAGAAATAAATGTAGAATCCAATCAGGAATGCCTATCTGCTGTCAGTCATAAATTCAAGCGTCCTCAAATGTCTGCACCCCAGTTTGGTAATGCAGTGTACACACCCGTGTTACAAGTGTAGAATTTCCAGAGCTAGCGACTCTATTCTACTTAAGGTGCTGCCGCTTCTTTAAGTTGCATAAAAATAAACTCCACTACATAAAAGCTGCCACAGTGCGTGCTCTCTCATCCCTCGGCTCCAAGCATGATCTCCCCCCCCCCCTCTTTTAGGTCAGCCATTCATGCATTAGGAAGACATCCCTCCCAAAATAACTTGGCCCTCCCTCAAAGCCTAGAGTTGAGTAACCTACCTTTGTCTGGAGTTACAGATAATAACAGGCAAGCCTCAAGACCATGAGGATTTGGAAAAGATCACGAGAGTTGAAGAAAAAAAGGAAGAAAAAGAAAAAGAAAACCACAGGTAGAGAAGAATTGGAAGAAACAACAGGGAAAGCCTCCTAATGAAACTGTTGTAGCTGTCACAGGATCGGGGTGTTGCACCAGTGTTTACACCCGTGAGTACACCTCTCTCCCTCTCCTCCACAACTGGTGGCATTTTTTTTTCTGAATCCATGCATGACAATTAAAAGCAACTGCACCTCTCCGTTTGGGAGGGGGACCACAAAAGACCTCTGCAATATTTCTTTACAATGTCTCTATCACTGATAAGCATTAGTTTGAGTGACAAAGGTCCCGGGCTAAATCAACATTCTTACCTTAATGTTCCTAGTAAAAGGCTCCAGGAAACATAACTCATGAGACATGTATGCAAAGATATGTCTCAAGGAATTAATCCAGAGCCCTCAGATGAAGTGAGAGAGGAAAAAAAAAAAAAAAAAAAAAGGAAAAAGAAAATGCAGTGGCTTATTTCCAAACAAACGCAGTTCAGCCTGGGCAGCGATGGCATAAAAACAGGTTTGCATATATAGAGCTTAGTGGCAGAAGCGAGAGTTCTGTAGGATTTATTTGACACTAATTTTCCGGGAAGCCTTTTGTGGAGTTGGACCGTTTGTTTCTTATTGTCTGAGAGGCAGTTAGGAGGTTTCTCCCGGAGGGGGCCTCTCAACCCCTGGGCTTGGCTGCCTCTGACAGGGAGGTAACCATATTAGGATGTGTATGGTAAAGTAAACAATAACATAGTTGCAATGAAATGGAATTTTTTTTCCCCAGCTAATGGTGTTGGGGTCAGTCCTGTCTTTTTAGCCATTCCCACTAATTTTATTCCCTAGTTCAAACAGGCCCTCCTCCTCCTTTTTTGTTTTAAGTGTTAGCTGTTTCCAAATATCTGACTGTAAATTTGCTGAGAATGTTTGCAATGTAAGAAAAAGCTTTTAACATCCAAATAAAGATCCTGCCAGTTTAATCATTAAAGGGAATGTGAATTTTCAAACCCTTGCAGAGATCCAAGCCTTCTTTACTCACCTCCCCCCTTCCAATCTCTCCCTGAAGGTTAAAATTACTTGGTCATTTAAAAGTACCTTCTAAATAAATCAGATTTTTAAAGAAAGAGACCGTTACCTTCATAAAAATTCCACATTCACATACAGTGTCACTGAGTGAAGAGTCTTAACCATTCATGCGCCTAAAAATTTATTACCTGAAATTTCCAGGATGGTTACTTTTACATGATAAAGCTCTTTCCCACCTCCTCCAACCCCCTCCTAAAAGAAAAAAGCAAGCATAAAATACTGTGTCAAGTCAACCTTTAGAAATTAGCTAATCAAACAAAAAAAAATTAAGAATGAGTTCCCGAGATGTTACACATTTAAGAAAAGTTCTGCAGGTCCAGAGACAACAATAAAAAAGTAGGTCTGCAGCTTTCTGGACATAGTCACTCTGTATGAGATTTCTCCCCCTTGCAGCGAGTGCCACCTCCCCCTCCAAGGTCAGGGTCAGCTGTGGAGGACAGCAGCACTGGTGAAGACCACAGAGAGCTGATCTGGAGAGCGCAGAGCAGCCAGGAGCCAGCCAGGAGCCCCTAGCGAGCTTCCTTGTCTTCATTCCCTAGGTGAGAGCCGGCTGCTCTTGAAAGCAGTTTCCCTGAGAGATCTGCCAAAACGAGGGTGTTTAAACAGCGGCCAGCCCTCTGTGTGCAAGGAGGGAGGAGAGGCACGGCAGGGCTCTCTGGGAGAACCCCAGAAACCATCCCTGCACCAAGCACAGAGGCAGACCGTGCGGGCTTGAATGGAGAGGGCACAGGCAGGGGAATAAGTGATACATGCAACTAAGAAGGAAGCCGAGCTGATTTAGCAAATAAAATGCATGGGGCCCTGGTGGAACTTCCAGAGCTCAGTAAAAGAGTGCCTCCCAGCCAGGAACCTCTCAGCTGGCCTCTAAACTGCCTTGGTTCTTATCAGATCCATATCACACAGAAACCTAAAACCCCTGCAACTCATGTTTTATTAAAACATGTTTAGCATTCTTCTTAAAGATAGGTTTTAACCCCAAATACCCATGAAATTAAATCTCCTATGCCACTTATCTGCACTGCTGGGCAAAAACTAAAGTTGAGCTAAACAGAGAGATAGCAAAATCAATAAATCACAACGAAACAAGTAGCAGTTCAAAAGTTCAAAGATATGATGGCCAGTTCAGTGCGTCTTAGCACTCACCCAATAATAACTTGTCTCCGTCACTTCTCATAGTATAGACAATTTCATGGCATCATTTTCATTAGCCTGTCTCATGGAAAATTGCTAGCTATTTATGTATACGCTAAAATAAATTAGCCATTTCATCGAGCAGTGTGATTCTTATAAAATACATTAACACAATACTCAATTTTCCAGTTGGAGTAAATAAATAAATCAATAAATTCAATACAGAGTGATTCTTTCATTGTGGTGCTACAGCTCTCAGCATAAGTGTTTTTATTGGGTTTATTTGTTTCAATAAAAATTGAAATGGGCCAGTGATCTCAGCACTAGCATCTTTAAAAAAATCTCTCCAATATTTGGGGAAGTACTGTGTGGAGCACTCTAACTTATAATTTTATTCCGAAATCATTTTCATTATAATGATTATTCTGCAACCCAATTCTGATGGGAAATTTCTCAAAGGGAAAGGGGGAATTCTGCCAGGTGTCTGACTCTCGTGGCATTTCTGTGCTACAGACTGAGTCTGGGTGAAGCTTTTGAGAGACAGCAGCGCTTCGCTGAGCTGCGACCTTCTGCCTCCAATGCGCCTCTTCCCAGGACAGGGAGGAAGGACGTGGGACGAGTGCCAGATGGCCACTTCTGTCACACCTTACGGAATGCCATTGATTGTGGCTCGGAAAAGGCCATTTACTCCAACCTCTGGGGGAAAGACTGGGGTATCATGACTGCAAGAGAGAAGAGAGGTGTGCTGATGCTGTAAATAAAATCAAGCTGAGGGTCGGCAAGCACCTCTGGAGGAGAAATGGAGACACCAGCAGGCATGAACCGAGTCACCAGTATAGTTAAAATTAAAGGGGAACAGGGTAGTGGGTAACCATTGTCTTTTGTCTGCCAAGCTTCCACACTCTTCTTTTTCTGATAACACTGGCTGATTTTCCTTTGGGAAAATGCCCCGTTCTCCCCTCTCTGTGCCTCTGGTTCATTGGAGGGTGAGGCATCTCCCAGCTCCAGAGGGTGGAGCCATGAACCAGGTCTGGCCAATCAGTGCATCCTGCTCTGTTGGCCACACTGATTGGCAGATGGATGGACATGTCCCCAAAAGAGTGATGCTCATCTACTGCCATCCTATAAAAACTACTGGGGAGGAGGGGTGTGGTGGTGTTGGGGCTGTCCTTGTGTTGGGCTTGCAAAGGTTTTTAAGACTTGGATTGGGCTTGGCCCCACAAACAGAAAGCTGGCTGAAAAAACCCAGGGCATAGCAACACAGAGGTGAGTACAAGAGCATGTCAGATTCCTAACAATGCCCAAAGATGATCATCTGACTCCTACATTTTTCAGTGACTTGAGCCAATGAAATGTCTTTTTTTTCTTAGCCAGCTGGAGTTGACTTTGGATCATTTGGAGCCAAATGATAAAATACAGGAACTCAACACAGATAGATGGTCTATGTACCAACTCTACAGTACATGTTAGCCCTACAGAAAAGCAAACCAACTAAGAACACTAAACTCCCACAGCTGATTCTCAAAATCTATAGCCCTTATGTGTCCTCCATAACCTGGTCATCAGCCATGTTCTCTTTTCTGCTAACAGTGGAAAGAATTAGAAGAATAAATTACGACTCAGCATCAGAGAGAACTCAAGATAATCTCAAAGCAAACTAAACCATGGGCCTGAAACCAATTCAGTGGCAACTCTAACACAGACTTTCTCTCAGCTGCTGGTGGCATGATTAAGGCACGAAATGCCAGAGTAGGTTAAAAGCCAGTGGCTCAGATCTCCTGACCTGACTCGCATTCAAGGATGCAAATCTGGGTCTTTCATCCTCTGTTAGGAAGCTGTGTTGGGGGTAAGAAGGCAGAGTAGAGCAGTACTTAGTTAGTGAGCACAAATAACCAGCAGGGAAGTTAAGCAAGAGAAAGTGTTGACTGAGTCTTTGGATATAGGCCAACACAAACTTGTGGCCTCAGTATTTTCTGAAGCTCTTTTGCAGACCCATTGACAATTGCATCGAAGTTTCTATCAAATATCCTTATCGACCAAATATCCTCATCTTTGGCCTACCAAGGTCTTAATCCACTGGCCAAATTGTAAAGTTACTCTTGGATATACAAATATTCTAACACGGCATGTGGTATAGCTGAAGTTCTTTGTATAATATTGACAGAAGGGAAGGAAATTCACAAGTTGTCCATTTGTTTTACTCCTTTGTTGGTCCTGTAATCTTTGTAAAAAAACTAACATTTATTGAATATCCAACATGCATTGGTCATGTAATTCTTACAATATTTTTCCCATTTCATAGATATGGCAAACTGAGACTCATATTAAATGATTTACCTAAGGTCACCAAGGAATTAACACGCATAGTGAAGTTTCTATTCAGGGTAGTCAGCATGTGCAATTCAAGGCCCCCTCAATCCCCATGCTCCTCTTTTCCTTTCTTCATTCTCATGAGTTCAATTAGTCATTATAATATGCCATTAATTCGCTAATTCCTATTGCCTAGCACAACTCCAAGTCTAGAGGAAGAGATAACCATAAAAACACACAAACACATTCACAAAACTCACCACCTTCCAAGGAGGAAACAGACATGAGTCAAGGATGATAAAATAATGACAGGGTCTGGGAAAACTTATTTAAATAGCATGAACAGAAGAGTCCTTGGAGTAAGTGACATTTAAGCTGTGGTGGAGTGAGTGGATCAGGTCCTGTTTGCCTGGCTGGCTTTTAGCCCAGACTCCAACCCAGCCAACCTGGCAAATCAGTCCCCTATTTTCTTCCAAGGGCAGAACTAGACCCCAGATTAATACAGCCACTTTTCTTGGGACCAGTAACCATAGTGACCCAAACAATAACAAGCACAACAATAATGGAAGCTACCAGTGACTGTATTTTTAAAATGCCAGAGACTGTACTAATCACTTTACATGCTTTTTTTTCATTTCTTCTTTAACACACCCCTGTACAATACACAGAGCTACTATTCCTAATTAAAAAGTAAGGAAACTGAGGCTCAGAGAACTTAAGCATCCTGTCCTTAGACACACAACAGTGACGTGATAGAGTGTACACTGAACCCAGCTCGGGCTGGGCCACCTGACTCTTGACACATCACAGTGGGATCCACCTGCTACCAAGAAGGACTCTCAGTAAGAGCCCTGGTTGCACACACTGCTGTCCTAGCAACTGATATTGGATGGAGTAGGATACCAACCCACCTCGCCCACCCCGCCCTCCCATGAAGTTATGATTTAGATGGCTGGCTGCACCCAGTTGAAGGGAGGGGACAGTCAGGAGGGGAGAAGACAGAGGGAGAAAGGGAAACAAGACTGTGGTCCCCTTATTTGTCAGCCTCAGTTGCACTGTCAACGGAACGCCCTAGGTAATCATGGATTCTCTCATGCCTCTTGGTTAGGCTGCAGGATGAAAAGTCTTTTTCAGACCTCACCTAATAATTAAACTGATTTAGCACAAAGATTATACAAAACACAGGCCACCTGAAATCTTGAGAGTGGGAATTGCTTTAAAAGTCCAGTTGAGGAACTAGGGTCATCATGTTCCACACTCCCCGCCTCCCCCTGAGGAAGAATTTCTTATCCTCTGCACTACTGATATTTTGGGCTGTGAAACTTCATCATGGGAGCTGTTCTTTGCATTATAGGATGTTTAAGACCACAGCTCAATGCCAGTTGCACCGCCACCACCCCAGCTGTAACCACCAAAAATGTCTCCAGACATTGTCAAATTTTCCCTGGTGGGGAATATCACTCCTGGTTGAGAACCACTCATCTGGACAAACAATGCCTAACCAGACTTTCTGTGATGGGCGGAATGTTCTAGACCTATACTTTCCAATAAAGGCTACGTAACACTCAAAACATGGCAAGTGCCACTGAGGAACTGAATTCTTAGCTTTACATAATTTTAATGAATTTAGGTTTAGTAACAATGTATGGCGGCTACTGTAGTTTGGACTTAGGAGTT